TTTTCAACAACCAAAAGGTTGTTTACTAGTAATTTGGTTTTAAAAAAATGGAGATCGGAATAATTGAGAATTTACAATCTATAGTGCGTTAAAAGAAAGTATGGAAGTTTAATATCCGAATAAATTAGTTATAATTGGTGCGTACTGCTGAGGAGTCGCATACTAAGACGAAACAGCTGTCCAGTGCTCACAGATTTTCAATAGTTCCCCAACTGATGTCAGCCCATGATGAATACTACTTTTAGATTGAAAAAAAATTCCTATTCATCTCAAAAATACATTACTGTATAGTGCTCATTAGTGACTTTTGTCCAGATGGATATAACGAAGCTCTAATGAGAAACCGTGACCTGTGGGGTAAACCAGTCAGAAGTGAAGTAGATGCTAACTGAAGACCTTGGGTGATAGTCTCGCTATGTCTTGAATTGACAGTAGTTTGAAATTGTGAACCAGTGGAGACCGACCAAGTGGCTGAATGGTTAACGTGTTTGCCGTGAAATCTCAAGGTCTTGAGTTCGATCCCTAGTTGGGTCTTGGGTGTGTACTGCTAAGGAGTCTCATTACTAGCAGGAAATAGTTGTCCAGTGCTCCCAAATTTTCAATGGTTCCCCAAATGATGTCAGTCCATGATGAATACTACTTCTAAATGAAAAAAATCCTCATTCATCTGAAAAATAATTGTGTATTAGGAGGTTTTGTAGAAAGCTGAGACGATAATTAGAGAGTGATTGGTGTGATTCCATATTAGATTTGTTTATTTGATTTATAATACACAGTGAGTGATCTAGTATTATTTGCTTGATGATGTTTCAAGCATAAATTATCATCACTGACAATTATATCAATGTAATCACACTCCACTTTCGACATCTGCATTTTACAGTCCTATCATCTCTTATTCTTTGTTCCTTTTTGTAGTAAACTTTTCTATATCTCTGGTATAGGTGTTCCATCATTTCTATTACATGTGTTGAGTGTAGATTCGGTGAATGAAGATTCAGTAATCGGTCTCTCTCTCTCCCCCTGATTATATTGGATTTAAGTACTCAGTTTTATTCCACCCAGTCTGTTGTGTGATTGTGTGTTGATGCATACATTACAGTAGCCGAGTTTTTTCTAGATTATTTATCTTATTCGAGTCTGTTATTCTATATTTAGCTAAATTCCTATGTTCTGCTGTTCTAACTGACCCCGATCGCTTAGTTTGACCTATGTACTTGACCTCATAGTCATTGCATGGAATTTGATAGATTAGATAATTTTGCCTAGTTCAATCCATCGAATCACTATACCGAAAAAGCTTTGTAGTCTTAAATGCCACCCTAATTCTAACCTTGTTGAAAATCCTTCCTTATAGGGTAACACAGTGAATGCTTTGAACTCCTTTCTACGCATATTATCACTATTATTCTTACTGGTGTTAATGTTACTACTTCGTTTCTTATGTATTTGTAGGAATTTCTAAATAAATGGTGGAGGATACTTCTTAATTACTGATGCTTGGCTTATGTGTTCCAATTCCTTGTTTAAGTCTTAACAATTACTAGAGAGATTTTAGCTCTGTCATTCAGACAGTTGACTAAACCTGCTTTAACCGACATTGAATGGTATGACTTGAAGTCTAGATACCTGCTAGAATATATCAGTCTCCTGGAGATGGTAGCATCTTAATCACCGTTTCTCCTTCCTTCCCCTTGTTCATTTCCTACCTCATAAGTGAATCGGATTGCGTCTACTACTGAGTTTATATGTGTGAAAAAACTGTCGATAAATAATCCTGCACGTAGGATATGGTGGCGATATATGAATGACATATTTACTGTGTTGATATCATAACATATCGACAGTTTCGTCACACATATAAACTCAATAGTAGAGGCAGTCCAATTCACTTACAAGGTAGAAGATGAACAAGAAGAAATGCATATACTGGAGTGTAGTATAAAACGAAGGATAGTCGATGGTTTTGATGATGTTGTCTACAGGAAACCGACATATTCTGAAATGTTTTTAAACTTCAGGTCATCTCATCTAATGTCATTAACCTAGGGGAGGTAGTATTCAACTTTTTATCATTTCTAAGGGTGTTGGATCATTTTTGTTACGTGTAATGACTGTTGTCTATCTCCAAGTAATTATATTGGAATTAAGTACCATGGTTTTATCTCACCACTGTATGTGTTTGTGTGTTTATGCATGCCGAGTTTTTGTAGTAGCTTTCATTCTATATTAGGCAAATTCCTATGTTCTGCTATTTTATTTGACACTCATCGTCTAGTTTCCCCTATGTACTTGACTTCACAGTCATTACATGGAATTTGATAAATTAGATTATTTTAGTTAATTCTATCTAGGCCGACAAAGTTTATCTCTGAGTGAGTTTGTAGGTTTAATTGCCGCCCTAAATACAGGTCCATTGAGGATTCTACGTAAAGTTTCTAATGTGCCTTCCTAATAGGATAAGACCTCGGAGGTTGTGAACTTCTTTCTACTGGTGTTGTCTTTATTATTCATACTCGTGTGACTGTCATTATTTCGTTTCTTTAGTGATTGTATCATTATTATTTATTTAATACTTTTCCCTTGGGTTCCTAGTGGAACATAGGGCTTCAGTAGCACGTCTCTATTCCACTCTATTTTCTGCAATCTTTTAAACCTGGTTCCATGACAGCCCACAAGCTCTTATTTCTCACTCACACCATCTACTCCATGTCACCCCCGCCTTGTGTTGTCACCTCCCAGTTTGGCATTCATGTCGCCCATTAGAATATTGATATCACCAACTGACGTCTTGTCCAGCATTGATTGCAGTTGTCTGTAGAATTCCTCCTTTTTCTCTTGATCTGCATTATTTGTAGGTGCGTAGCGTAGCACTGTATGATTGTGACTTTCTTTTGAGTTGAATCTTGCTATCATGATCCTGAAGGAGATTGGTTCCCACTGCATGTGGGCCTTCGATGCTGTTGGGGACATCATGATAGCCACTCCAACACTCAGTGTGCTCGTGGTTGTCGTCTGGGTGACCGGAGTAGATTATTGATTCTCCAGATGACAGTTTGGAGAGTCTACTCTCATTCCATCTGCTTTCGCGAATTCCAAGCACTTCAGTGCGATACCTCCTTATCTCGTTTGCAATCTGGGCTGCCTTGCTGGGTTCAAACATCGTGTGGATATTCCATGTCCCCACTCTTACTTTCACTTTCATCGAGAGTGAGAAGATACATCGGCCCGGCTAATTGGCTTCTCGAAGGCTTTCACCAACCGGCATCATTTCGCCTCTCCGATTCCATCGAGGAATAATTTTGTTATTATTTTTATATGTCGTTTGTGCTTTGAAGTTTCTTTAGCGGTTAGATTTGTTTTACGGGGTAGAGTTGCTAGCCTTATGCCCAACCTTCCCTCTTTACTCAGGCTCAGGACCGGCTAGTAACTAGTGAACTAGTTAACCAGGCGAGGTTAATAATAATAATCAAAATTATGGATTGTATTCTCATCAATTTTCTATATATTTCCTACGAGTAAAACTCACACTGTATGATTGATTCACTATCATGGGTCTCTACTGAAGAATGGAATTTGAATGAATTTGTATTGGTGTATTCTTCAAAAAGAAGTAATTATGTATAGAAAAACTTTTTTTTTACTAATACATCACCGTATTATTAAATATCTCCTATGAATTCATATTTCTGACCATAATAATTACATGTCATATAGAGTGTTTCGGTTAAGGAAGCGGGTGGAGAAACTTATGAAGCATATGAAGGTTAGGCTAGGAAATGGAATCAAAAGTCAGAAATTATATAGAATTGTTTTCATAGGGAAAATAATAATGCCAGTTTCGTTTTTAATATTGCTTGTAGTGTCCACTCTTGAAAGATATCATGAACACTGTTTATACAGTCGCCAAGAGAGTAGCTCATGAAGTTGTTCAGTATATTTGGATAAAGTGATTGATAATTGTGAACTATATCTTGTTAAAAAACTCATAAGTTATTTCAGATTGGTATTCATCACTGGTTGATATCAGTTGGAGAAACAATAGGAACATGGGATCATTGGATAGATGTTTCATCCCAGTATGGAACTCCTCAACACTGACCCCACCAGGGATTAAACCCAAGACCTTCATGTTCCATGGCCAGTACGTTGCCATTGAGTTATTGGGTTGGAATCCAATGTTTTAGTTCATGATACATCTCAACCTTTATCCAATTCCGTAGTTTGACCCCACTGGTCAAGACTTTTTATTCGAACTTCGGGAATCACCTCCCGAATCTAGTCACCAATGAGCACTTTTGTACTTAGTGGAAACTATTGATCAAATGTTTGACAACAATAGTTGTCTTTTTCAAGAAATGTCACATGTAAACTTCCAGCATCGGTCTTTATATCAGGATATCTGTGTGTTGACAAAGGTGTGTTCTAAAGTTGATTTCACTACGAGAATAGAGGAAATGATTACTTAAATCTGAAGAAACAGCGACACTTAAACTCTTCCAAATCCTTACTACTAGATAACCGATAGCATAAGTTGGTGTTACCCCATAATTCTTGATGTGATAGTTAAGTCTACCTGAATGAGCTAGAGAACAATGTTCGTAGACAGAAGTGGTTGGTTCCTAACGTTGTATACCTGTTAGTCAGTTGCCTTGTGAAGCGAGTTAATAGCGTCAAAATATAGACTTGATATTGTTTTGTATAATCCAAAGATGTTTACTTCAATCATACAGAGAGATAAGAGTTGAAAAGACAGGTTGTTCAAAATCATTGAATGTTTTGAATAGAACCGAACGATGAAATGTATCAGGATACCATCAAAATTACTTTAACTTCGATAAGTATATTATAAAGTAATTTATGTTGATTTAATGGATGGAAAAGAAGAAAAAAACCCAAAGGATAAACTTTACCGTTTTTGAGAGAGACGTTATAGAATAACTGATTTTAAAAAAAAACTACTTTGTTCAATCGCATCCTCTTTTTTCTCTCATCTAAAGATATTAAAATTGGATCAAGTGAATTGAATAATCAGGATCATATTGTTTATGATACTCAATTTAATGGCAGTAATAGCCGTCATAGTGTTGGTACTGTTGATCAGTATTATGTTAAATCAGATACACCACCAGTGTCTTTATCATCCCTACATCGTTCTACTTCAACTTCTCCATCTTCATCTGCTCATTCGTCTCCACATTCAGAAGTTTCTGTACATAATTCTGTTCATATGAAACTATCAACTAATCACGATAAAGATGAACAAGTCAATCATTATCCACATGAAACTACAAGACCATCATCATCATCATCATCAAAACATAATCATCATTTCAATTATACTGATGGGACTCATCTTCATCGTCGCCATCATTCAAAGATAAAAAGAAGTCTTATTCATCACCTTTAAAGAATAATGAAAATTTTTCCTCTTCTCCAAATTTATCCAATGAAAAAGTTCATAAACCATCAGTTAATGAAATGACAACAACAAATATTCCATGTTTTGCGTCAACTGGTCAAGAGCTACTTGAAAATAGAATGGTTGGAATAAGTGAGTGATGATTATTAGCACTGGTAAAGATTTATTTATAGATATTTATACTTTCCTACAGATTTTTGTGCTTTATTGAATCGATCGGTTTCTGTCGCTATATAAACTTATGTGCAGATATGTTGTGACCGAGTGGTGGGTTTGGGTGCGTGGGTATAATGATACTGAGACTCAATAGACACCTCAACTGGAATACCTTTACAACTTACCTCCTTCAGTACCTTCTGCTTCACTGAGCCGCTTAAAATAAGAAAACAAAGACAGCCTATGATCGCAAGAACGGCGATAACTTCTATGTGGCAAATACATGACATATATGTATTCATAAAACTCTCAGAAAGTGAAGCTATGAACGAACCAATCAGATTTCTCGTATTAGATTGAATTTCTCCAATCATGTTCTCATATCAGCGCATGCATAAATCATGACCTGAACATGATCTGATCATGATTTGATAACAACTCCCCTATTGGCTGCCTTTTTATAGCTACGTAACAAGATGTATTGAAGATTCCTTGAAAGAAAACCTTTTTTGCACGAAAGGTGGTCTACGTGATTAAGTGATGCAGTGGATAACGCTCTGGCATTTGAGACGATGATTATGGGATTTTAGTTTCGGTAGAAACACTACCACACAATAGTATCCAGATAAAAAAAATCCAGCTAAGGAATCCCGAAATAAGATGAAAATTGCCTCATAGATACCACTAATAGCGACCAATAAGCGAGATTTGACCATTTAGAGTGTTGAAGCAATTTTTCTGCCAGTGAATTTTCTTATCAATAGAAGAGAAAGAATAAGATGCTTTCAAACCCCAAAATGGGGAACAAAGTAGTCAGTATAGTGCGCTATGCATAAAGTCAAAGTAGTTACAGTTTTCATAATAAGGTTGACGTGAATAGATTCGCCATTCATCTAAATTAATAATAAAGGGATTATAAACCCATGACTGAGATGAAGAAGAAGATGAGATAAGATTAAAGAGTCGTTCCAAGTTGTTATCCATCGTAGACTGACATCAGTTGGAGGAACAAAGGAAACCTGGGAGCACTGGATAGCTGTTTCGTCCTATTATGGGACTCCTCAGCGGTGCTCACCCATGGCCCCGCCCTCTAGGGATCGAACCCGCGACCTTCAGGTTCCATGGCCATCACGTTACCATTGAGCCACTGGGTCAGAATCCAATGCTTCATATTTCCAAGGTCTGTTGGCTGACGATATAGCTCAACCGCCACTCAATGTCATCGTTGAGTACTGTCCTCAAGAATCGTTATCTGAATGGCTAAATCAGAAAGTGCAAACAAATAGTCAAGTTTGTTATCAAGCTACCGGAAATCCTTTTTGGCGTGGGGAAACTCAAGTAAATAAGAATTCTTCTGGTATTGTTTATTTCAAATCCCCACGTTTGATCTATTAATTTGCCATCTTAGGCACTATTACCAGACTTGTACTGAGGTAATTTCCGTTTCAACAACTTTTATTGTATGATTCGTTGTAATAGTTTTGGTTGCATTGTGTTCTCGGAGGTGGGTTGTTTAGTCGTGAAGCTTTCATCGTCTTTCTAGACAGCGACATCATCCACATCACTAACTTCAATATGAAGTCAGCTATTAATATCTCTCCGTGAGTTATTTAGTAGCTTGCCTTGACGATGTGGTCTGTGATTAGTTGTTCCCTTTGATTATTGTGTCATTGACTGATTGCAGAGATTTTCCTGTTGGCTGCCCCACTGCTTCACCTCTGACCTCTCTGTCGTTTGCCATCTTTCTTATTGGTTGATAGATTAGGTCTATGTCTATATATCTGTTGATTGGTGACTGACTTGCCTGATTACCAAGCTTCTAGGAATTCTCTGATATTATTTGTATTTCCTCTCTCCATCCAACATTTCTACATTGTTGAAATTGAATTCATGTCCATAATTATCCATATGCATTGAAATGACTGATGAAATGTCATATGTCAAGTCACTGCTGCTATATGGTTCAGAGACTTGGCAGCGCGTTACGAAAAGCGTTTCCAACAAACTACAGACATTCATCAACAGATGCCACGTACGGTGGCTCGATACTGACACTGAAGACCAGATGGCCAGAATAATAAAAATAAGCAACAAGGAACTCACTGTGGCTGGCTGTCAACGAACCAACCAACAACCTATCACCCAACAAATATGCAGTGGAAGGAAGTGGAGATGAATGGGATTGGACATGCACTGAGAAGACCATTCGGGGACATCACGCCCTAGGCAAGGCTGTCCAGTGGAACCCATATGGGAAACGACGAGTTGGGCGTCCCAGCCGAGGGTGACATGGAGGAGATGATGTGAGGAAGAAATGAGAGGTTGTGGGCTGTCGTGGAACCAGGTTGAAAAGATTGCAGAGAAGAGAGTGGAATGGTGACGTGCTACTGAAGCCCTTTGTTCCATTAGGAACCCAAGGGACAAATAATAATATAATAATATTAGTGTAATCGACTGGACACCAAAAATGGTATCAAGATTGCGGGCATGACACTGTAAATATTATACTACTCATTACAATGAGTAGTTCTAGGCCATTAACAGTGACCAGGAGTGTTCGCTAGCTAGAGAAAGAGGCTTTAGACACCGAACCGTCATTTTTATAGTTTGGAATGGAAGTCATCAGAGATTTAACAGGATAGAGTTAGCTCAGACACACAAAATCCTCAAAACCTACGTCTACTCATAATTTCGACTTAAACAGAATGGAAATATGTTTCTTTTAACTTGTAGTTTACTTGATCAGATCGTCTACAACTAAATTTAACATTTCTAGTACTGGCTATATGAAAACAAACAAGACTTTCATTTATAACTTGATATACAAGAAACCAATTCAGTAAATAGATGACATCGCTTTTGAAACCAATGTATCTTCATTGTGACGATGTTATTAGTTAAAATTCATTCTGAATTTATGAATATTTAAGACAATTTACAAACAACTATGTCTTACAGTGTAATAATAATATTTTCAACACTGAAAATGCGAGTATACGGATAATCGTTACTAATTGTGTACACATGTACGGAAACGACAAGATGGAGACAAAAGAAGGAAATTTTATTATTAACATCTTGTACAATAGTCATTAATTATTCTACATCTTTCACTGAGCAGAATCTTTACTAAGTGCTGGTAATTCCTTATGATTTCTAACACCCTCTCAAAATATGCTACTTATTTATTGATCGGTTGCAATCCCGTGACCGATCAACACATGTAAGCCAGTCCTACAGGAGATCAGTCGCGGTCCGAATAGCTCAGTGATAAAGTCACTGACTACAACACTAGGTGACGCGGGTTCGAATCTCAGGCGGGACATAAGTTCTGCCTTGTTGACGAGTGCCAAGAAGCATGAAACCTAGGTCAGACAGAGCTTCCTGCCGATTACCTCCAACCAATCAACATAAACCACTTATATCCATTCTGATCAGCAAAGCCCACTACACACCCACATATATTAATTCTTGAAATTTGTATCTTTGATTATATTTTAGAATGGGAAATTATAGATCTGAACACCTTTTTTATATGTTTCCCACTTCTGTGAACAGTGCCAATGATTTTTGTAGTGGTTTCCCGTTCTTAGAAAAAACGACCGACTATAAGAAATGTGGATTTCGTGTTTGGTAGTTATGTGAAATATTTTACTGAATTCTGATAATATCCTACCTCATTTATATTATCTGGGAATAATGACGATCAAAGTAGGCATTAATTTCGACTGGAATCCCTAGCTGGCTAAAAACACTTGTCTTACAAATAATAAAAAAACTATCAGAAAACGTTTGTAAAACCGATTGATTGGTGCGTTACGAAAGGCATTTCCAACAAACTACAGACACTCATCAACAGTTGCTGCTTACGCTCCCTCGATACTGAAGATCAGGTAGCCAGAATAATAAAAATAAGCAACAAGGAACTTACTCAGGCTGACAATGAACCAGCCAACAACCTATCACTCAACAAACATGCAGAAGGAAGTAGAGATGAATGGGATTGGACATGCACTGAGAAGACCGTTCGGGGACATCACGCACCAGGCCAGACCAGGCTGTTGAGTGGAACCCAGATGGGCAACGACGAGTTGGGCATCTGAGGTGAGGGTGACATGGAGGAGATGATGTGAGGAAGAAATGAGATCTTGTGGGCAGTTGTGGAACCAGGTTGAAAATATTTCAGAGAATAGAGTGTAATGGAGACGTGCTACTGCAGCCGTTGTTCGACTAGGAACCCGAGGGATAAATAATAATAACAATGTTGCTGATATGCTCAGCCTGATCACAATTCAGTTTCCACATCTTTTTTGATTTTAATGACAACTCATTTATTGACACTATCTGTGTTGCCATGCTTGATAAACTGTTTTTTAAGTATCAAATCATTAAACTAGAAAAAAATGTATAAATTTACTATTGTACAAGTTTAATAAAGGAAATCGCCGAGAAAAGAGACTTATCGCTGAAATATGCTGAAATTTAAGTGATATTGCCAGTGAGATCATCACACAACGTATAAAAAGTCTTACATAAAGTATTCCCAGCCGCTAAATTATGTCCCGTCTTCTACAACCGCCAGATTCTAGATGCAAGAAATAAAGACAAACTGCATGATTCTGCCACTTCTATGTGCATTTATCAATTCAACTGCTCCTGTCGAGCTAGTTACATTGAGCGTACAATGAGGCAGTTCCATCATCGAATTTCTGAGCACCACCCATCATGGTTGAACAATGGACAAATTAGAACTATAAAGAGATCCATACTTGCCCACTTAATTGACACAAGACATCAAGTGGTTACTGGAAAAGTCTTCAAAATTATCCATCAGATTCCAATTAATTTACCTCATGGATTACACACTCGCGCTTACTTCACATAGCAGAGGCGATTACAATCCACCTTTACAAACTTAACTTTTGTATCCAAAAGAAGTTTGTTCGACCACTTTCATTACCGTGGCCAGTCAACAT